AAAAAAAAAAAAAAAAGAAAAGAAGTCATCAAGGACTGCATCTGAAAAACTCCAAAGTCAGATGATCGAGGAAAGTGAGTTAGTTGAAACCAGTAATTCTGAGGACAGATTATTAAAGCACTGGGTAAACCCTTTAAAGGATGCAGTGAGACATCTCCCTTCCCGAGAGAGATATTTGGGAAATGCATATTATCCCTGAGAAAGCCATTGTGGAGAGATTGGCCATGGATGTAATGAAGGAGAAAAAATACTTTGTACAGGAGAAAGCTCCAATAGATATGACGTCTGTGGCCAAAACTTCAAACAGAAGTCAGGATTAACTGAACATCAGAAAATCTGTAGTATAAATAATACCTATGAATGTAAGGAATGTGGAAAAACCTTAAGCAGGAGCTCAAACGTAATCATACATCAAATAATTTATACAGGAAATAAACCATATGTGTGTAATGAATGTGGGAAAGACTCTAATCATAAAGTTCAAATCTTATTATACATCAGAGAATTCATAAAGGAAAGAAAACTTATATATGTCATGAATGTGGAAAAGACCTCAATCAGAGCTCTAATCTGGTCAGACATAAGCAAATTTACAGTGGTGAGAATCCCTATGAGTGTAAAGAGTGAAGAGTGTAAAGGGAAGGCTTTTAAGGGAAGCTCAAACCTCATCGTACACCAGAGAATCCACAGTGGGGGGAAGCCATATTTATGCAATAAATGTGGGAAGGCCTTCAGTCAAAGCTCAGATTTTACTATACATCACAGAATTCACACTGGAGAGAAACCCTATGAATGTTATGATTGTGGACAGATGTTCCATCAAAGTTCACACCTTGTCACACATCAGAGAATTCACACTGGAGAGAAACCCTTCAAGTGTAATGAATGTGAAAAGGCCTTTAGGCAGCGTTCTTGTCTTACTGAACACCAGAGACTCCACAGTGGAGAGAAACCCTATGAATGTCACAAATGTGGGAAGACCTTCAGTGGGCACACAGCCATTCTCAAACATCAGAGACTACACACTGGAGAGAAACTTAAAGAATGTGAAAAAACCTTCAGCAAGGATGAGGAGCTTAGGGAAGAGCCAAAAATTCACCAGGAAGAGAAAGCTTATTGGTGTAATCAGTGTGGTAGGCATTTCCAGGGCAGCTCAGACCTCAACAGACATCAGGTAACTCATACAGGAGAGAAACCATATGAATGTAAAGAATGTGGGAAAACTTTCATTCAGAGCTCAGACCTTCTGAGACATCATAGAATTCACAGTGGAGAAAAACCTTGTGTATGTACCAAATGTGGGAAATCTTTTAGGGGCAGCTCAGATCTTATTAGACACTATCGTGTTCATACTGGAGAGAAACCCTATGAATGTAGTGAATGTGAGAAAGCCTTTAGCCAGAGGTCACATCTTGTTACACACCAGAAAATCCATACTGGAGAGAAGCCCTATCAGTGGTGCACTGAATGTGGCAAAGCCTTCGGGCACTGTTCCCTCCTTATTCAACATCAGAGAATTCATAGTGGTGAGAAGCCCTATGAATGTAAGGAATGTGGGAAACTCTTCATTTGGTGTACAGCTTTCCTCAAACATCAGAGACTGCATGCTGGAGAGAAACTTGAATGTGAGAAAATCTCTAGCCAAGATGAGGAGCTTAGGGAAGAGCAGAGAATTCACCAGGAAGAGAAAGCTTATTGGTGTAATCAATGTGGTAGGAATTTCCAGGGCAGCTCAGACCTCATCAGACATCAGGTAACTAATACAGGAGAGAAACCATATGAATGTAAAGAATGTGCGAAAACTTTCAATCAGAGCTCAGACCTTATGAGACATCATAGAATTCACAGTGGAGAAAAACCTTATGAGTGCAACAAATGTGGGAAATCTTTTAGGGGCAGCTCAGATCTTATTAAGCACCATCGTGTTCATACTGGAGAGAAACCCTATGAATGTAGTGAATGTGGGAAAGCCTTCAGCCAGAGGTCACACCTTGCTACACACAAGAAAATCCATACTGGAGAGAAGCCTTATCAGTGCAATAAATGTGGGAAAGCCTTCAGGCGGCATTCCCTCCTTATTCAGCATCAGAGAATTCATAGTGGTGAGAAGCCCTATGAATGTAAGGAATGTGAGAAACTCTTCATGTGGCATACAGGTTTCCTCAAACATCAGAGACTGCATGCTAGAGAGAAACTTGAAGAATGTGGGAAAACTTTCAGCAAGGATGAGGAGCTTAGGGAAAAGCAGAGAATTCACCAGGAAGAGAAAGCTTATTGGTGTAATCAGTGTGGTAGGACCTTCCAGGACAGCTCAAACCTAATCAGTATCAGGTAACTCATGCAAGAGAGAAACAATATGAATGTAAAGAATGTGGGAAAACTTTCAATCAGAGCTCAGACCTTGTAAGACATCATA